ACACACACACACACACACACACACACACACACACACACACACACACAGAAACCTCACAGCCTACGGCATGGACTACGGCAAAGAGGGAGAACCTAAGGATGAAAGCTGTCGGAGAATCTGGGAGTCCTGCCGTAAATACTTCAAAAACCTCCTCCCAGAAGGGAGCAACACAAACAGCCCGTGAAGTGGGTGTGTGTGTGTGGGGTCCAATCACACCAGCCACAAGATTTTGTACTGACACTTCGGGATCTCCTCCCCCCCCCCCCCCCCCGCAACTCACCACAAAAGAGTCCTCTAACTTGGAGGCAGAAATGTGGCAGGCGGGGGAGGGGGCAGTTTCAAGAGGGTCTCCTAAGGCCCCCCCTGCATGGGCATTGGGATGCCCCGGGCAGTGCCAAGCAAAAGACACCCACCCACCCCTACAGCCCTGCCAGGATGGTGGGTTTCCCCCCAGGTGTGGATTCTCCCAGTCTTTCCAGGCCCGCTTCCATGGGGGCAGGGCAGGTTTTGTGTGACTGCTGGAGACTGACTGTGTTGCCCGGTCAGTTGCTTCGACTCTCGCTGGCTGTGGGTGCGGTGGGCTTCTGGGGCCTTGCTGCTTCTTACTCGAGAGTGTTGCCCTGATCCAGAGAGACGCTGCGCCTGACACGAGAGCAGGAAGGGAGAGCCGTGGCATCGGGTGCCGCTCGCACTGCCGGGTTGGAAGAAATGCCGGAGGAAGCAGCTTGGCCAAGCAAGCTCGGATGCGGGTGGGAGGCAGCTGCTCCCGGGCCTCTTTCCCATGAAAAAGGTCCGTTGGTTCAGCTGCCTCCAGAACCACGGCCAGGATCTGGGGTGGGGGTGGAGGATCCAGGAGCTGAGGATCCCGTTGAAAAGAGTTTTAGGGGCTGCGGCTGCAAGGATGTTGTCTTTCCAGCCTCTGGAGCGGGGGTGTCAAATCAAGGCTGGATCCAGAGGTGCTTAGATTGTGCCCAGGGGGCTGCCCTGGAAGCAGCGAAGGACCCGCCCGCAGTGCCTCTGCCAGCGGAAACGGAGCTTGGGAGGGTGGCTGTTCCCTGGCAGAGGGTTGCAGGAGGCTGTTGCAGCCAGAAACAGAGCTCGGGAGCTCGTTGGCAGAGTGCAGTGTGCGGGGGACGACACAAGTGACACTAATCTGGCCACGCCCCCTGTCCCCCTCTCCTCCAAGCTCAAAGACAACCCTGATGCGGCCCTCAATGAAATTGAGTTTGACCCCCCTGCTCGGGAGCTCCTTCACATCTGGGTGATGAGATCCCCACCCTCGCCCTCCAGGGGTCTGCCTTCCTTACTGGCCATGGGGGGAGGGTTTCCTTGTCCAATGCCCCCCCCCCCGGTTCTTAGCCGCTTTCGCTCTTTGCTCGTAGGACCTTGGCCTGGAGGGGACGTTCCTCAATGAAGTGCTCTACAAGAAGGCCACCTTCCTCAACTTGGTGGACCCCATCTCCCACGATCTCCTGATGAGCCTGGCCAGAGACCTGCAGTGCCCCAAAAAGGTGAGGGCCACCAGGCCCCTGGGGGGGGGAGCACACTCCCTAAGGCAGGGGTCGCCAACGTTTTGGATCTCAGGGATCACCAAACTCATACTTTTAAATCCCGAGGACCACTAATACGATTTTTTTTAAAAAGCTAATATATTTAATATAATTATTATGTATTTATATATATATATGTTTTCTGAGGTTCTCAAGGGTATTTGTATGTGGATCTTTGGTTATTCGGGTTTTCTCCCGCACAAAATTGGAAGTATCTAGGCGACGTTTCTATGAAGTCTCATTCATCATCTTCAGGCTTGTGTCTTCGGCTTTGTGCTTCTCGGAGTAATGTGAGCTTGCAGCTGCTTCTTCCTTTTAACTGCTAGTGGGGGTGTGACTTGATTGGGTGGGAGCTTGGTTGTGCTCAGGTTAGTCTTAGTTGCCGGGGGATTTGAGCTGGTGAGCTGTGATCCTGTTGTTTGGCTTCGCATTCGGATAAGTTGCTAACCATATATATATATATTATATATATATATAATGTATGTATGTATGTATGTATGTATGTATGTATGTATGTATATACACTGCTTGCACTGGCACAAAGCTGAAAGCACCAGCCTGAGGATGGCGAGTGGGACCTATATATATATATATATATATATAATGACGTGGGAAAATACCCGAACAAAACTGAATGCCATACATAGTAAGTACCCGCAAAAACTTAAGAAAACACACACACACACACACACACACACACATATATATGTAGATTTGTAGATTTTCACGGGTACAGGTATGTAGGTCTAGGTGTGTTCGGGTCTTTTCCCGTGTAAGATTAAGAGTATCTCAATCTTAAGAGTATCTTGGCGACGTTTCGGCAAGGTCCCACTCGCCATCCTCAGGCTGGTGCTTTCGGCTTTGTGCCAGTGCAAGCAGTGTGTGATCGGAGCTGCCGTCTCTCTATAAATACTGGTGGGAGGGGGGCTGGTGTGCTGGGCTGGAAAATGCTGGCGGAGAACTAGGACGTTGGGCCATGGCTTTCCTATCCCTGCTCGTGGGTGTTCCTGCGTTGGCTGAAAGAGGGACGGACAGAGGCAGGACAGGTTGGCAGATGGAAAGGAGAGGTTTTTAGGCTGGCCTCCAGTAGAGACACTTGCTGCATGTTTTAGATTTAAAGATACTCAGATTATTCTGCTCTTCTTTGAAAAGGTACAAAAGTTCTATTCTGGTTAGCGACTCCCAAATTCGGCTTGAGACCGCTGGATTTCTGAGCAGAGCCCAGGTGGGAGAACAAAAATCATCCAGTGGAATCAAGGCCTCCCGAAAGCCGGAATTCTTGGATAGCTAGAGAGATCCCACATTGAAAAAGGAGCGCTGTGGCGTCTTCTACAGGAATTTATTTCTTACGCACAACCACAAGTGCAGGACTCATTGCTGACCAAGAGCAGAGCTGATGTGGCTGGCCTGTCTGCCTTTTCAGCCAGTTGCTTTTCAGCAAAGACCCTCATTCTCTCCTCCCCCCCCTCCCCCCCTCCTCCTCTGGGCACAAAGAGAAAAAAGGAAGGGAGAGGGAGGCAGCCCAGAGGACCCCCTCTCCCCCCCCCGCCTTATCCCAGAGTTTGGCTTTTGGAGTCTACGCTTCAAAACATCAGGGAGACATGAAATCATCCCAGGTTGCATTGGGGGTGGGTGGGGGGAGGAGTGGGAACCCGTAGAAAGTCTTTGGAGATCTGCTTTGTCCTTCCCAGCTGCTATTTAGGAATGGAAGGGGGTGGGCTCCATCCTCCATGGGTGGCCCCCTTTGCTCATGGCTCTCCTTAGCCAGTTTGTCCAGTGGGATCTGCTTCTGCTAGCTGTGCCAGGGGCTGGGCGGATCCCCCTCTGGACTAGCAGGAGACCCAGCTGATTTCTGTCCCTTGCTCCACCCTTCCCTTCCCTGACACACACACACACACACTGTGTTGATGGCCCCCTTCCTGTGCCAAAGGGCCAGGCAGGCTGCAGAGACATGTCCTGATGCTGCCTGGGGGGTGGGCTGAGCTGCCGATCGCGGGGAAGCAGCTCCGCATCTTGGCCCTTCCAGGTCCCCTCCTGGCAAAGGTCTCTGATCTCACAGGGGCCCAGCAAGGGATGATCGAACACAGACACACACACACACACACCGTTGCAAGAGTCCTTTGATTCTTGGCCTTTGGAAAGGCAGACCAGCTGGCTGGGGGCTGACCTTGCAGGCTAAGAGGCCTTTCGGGAGGCCTTGATTCTACTGGATGATCTCCCGGGGCCCAGAGAGCCCTCAATGGCAGAGCTCAGGCATGAGGACTTTGAAAGGACACAGATGTGGGGCTGTCAGCTCTGGCAACTGAGGGGGCTGCCTCTTCTCTGCTTTCAGGAATATGATCCGTGGAAATCCTCCGACCGGATCTGCCGGCAGCTGATCTACCACTTGACGCCCCACTCCAAATGGCATCGGTCTGGGCTGCCCCGTCACAAATCCCGCAGCAGGTGAGCAGGCACGGTGGGCCCTGGAAATCCTTGGTTGGGGGTTGCAGGAGCCAGGAGGACTCCGGTTTTAGAGGGCGGAAGGACAGGCGCCCAGTTCCCACAACAGAGGAAATCCAAAGGAACGAAACAAAACATCCCAAACCTATCATAAATAGGACCTCGTGCGATAGACTAGGTCGCTCAATGGCCCGGATTTCCACCTGCAACACACTGAACCACAAATTGTGCGGAGCCGGCCGGCTTCTCTAGTATCCTTGCTCCTTGCAAGCAAGCATTCATGCAGGCACTGGCTTTGAACTCTTCCCATTTCAAGAATCGCGGTTACTGAAAAACCCAGAATTGACTTAAACCATCGCTTGCAAGGACCACAGCTCAGCCAAAGCCACCCTTCCCCCTTGTTCTGCCCCTCTTCCGGCCAAGGCAAGCCCCTTCCCCAGGGCCAATCCCACCCAGAACACAGCAAGTGCAGCACGAGCTCCCCCCCCTGCCCCCACCCCAAGGAAGGAGGACGGGAAACGGGATCCAGTGGGTGGAAGAGTTCAAACGCGTATGTTGGGTCTAACGCCGCAATCCCCTCTCCTGCCCCAATCTCCGCACAAAAGTTACTCAAACTCCTTGACCGATGAGCATCTACTGATGGAGGAGATGGTTTGGCCAAAATAGCCAGCTCAAGCCATAGCCCCGCGGCAAACCACGGCGCTGCCAGACTAGACCGGCTGATGGCAAGGCCACCATGCAAACGCTGCCTTGGGTCACTTGCACCCCAAAGCCAACCAAGCGGGCCAGGTGCAGCCTTTGTGCGACGGGGCCCATTTTGTACTGTCCAGACGGCTCGCTTCTCCTTTCCTTCTTCTCCTTTAGCCTGAAGAGCAGCCTGCAGAAGCAGCTCAGCCAAGAGGCCGTCCATCTCTCTGGGGTCCCCCTCTCCCCACGCGACATCCAGCACCTGGCCAGCTACCTGCAGGGCAGCGGGGACCACCTTCTCACCATCGACCTGAGCTTCACCGGCCTGAGGGATGAGGAGATGCGCTTCCTGATGCCCTTCCTGCAGTCGCTGCCCAGCCTCACCCACCTGTCCCTTAACGGGAACCACTTGACCCGAGCCGCTGTGAAGGACCTCACCGACACCATGAAGGACATGGCCAAGTTCCCTTCCTTGGCCTGGATCGATCTGGGCAACAACGTGGACGTCTCCTCCATGCCGCAGCCTCTGCTCGTTGGCCTGCGGAAGCGGCTCAGCCGGCAAACCACGCTGCCCACCATTTACGAGTCCTTGGACTGCACTTCTGAGGCATCCAGCGGGCCTGAGGCCAGCCTGCTGGACGAGGAGGAGGAGGAGGAGGATTTGCAAGGGGAAGAGGGGACCCCGCCGCTAGCCACGCACCGCTTCCACCAGCAGTCGTGCGAAAGGTGACTGGACGTGGAGATGTCCTCTGGGAGACTGAAGCCACCACAGTGGAAGCTCTGATGGAAGAGATGCCTCTCCAGGCCTCCTCACCTGCCCACTTCCTTGAGCCTTGCCTGACCTTTCTGGCTTGCTCCCCTCGCCCCGTCCCCTTCCTCCTAGTCGGGCTTTCTCACGGGCACCAAATCCGGCCAGGCACTTACCACGATGCTGCAAAAGGAGGCCATCCGGAGATGCGGGGAGGCGCATGGAGCAAGCAAATCCTGGGCCCGACCTTTCCCGGCCGTGCTGGGTCCGCAAGCCCAGAGAGCCGCGTGAGAACAGCATGGAAGGACTGAACGGGGGCCGAGACGGCACCGGGATGGCACAGCTCGCCTCCTCCCCCTCCTCCCCTCTGAACAAAGGGTGGCGGAATGCGAGGCATGCCAGTGTCTGCAGCCGACATGTGACCGGTGGCACTGCAGGAACTCGAGGGGAGACGGATATGGGTTGCGCAGGTGTGTCGGGGGGGGGCCTGCTTGAGCCTCCCTCCCTCCCCCCCCCCCCCACCAGGGCTTTATGCTCTTCGGGATGCTTCGTGGCCGTCTGCATTCAAACGCTTCTGTGCTTTCTGCTCTCAGTCTGGCTGGGAGGGTAGCCCTGCCTTATGCCCTGGAGGGGACCGTGACCTGGGCAAGCCCAGTTCAGCGGGAAAGCCTCGTGGTGTGTGGTCCGAGATAGCAAAGGGCTCCCCTGGAGAGCGGACGATGACACGGCTCAGCGCTTGGCTCAGCAATCGTGGGGCGGAGTTGCAGAAGCCTCTCGACAAACTCCTCTTCAGAGGCTCCCAGCCTGTTTCTTTGTAATGGGCGTTTCCCTCCCTTTGCTACCATTTCTCTCAAAAGGGAGATTGTGGACCTTTTCCATCGTGCCTTGGCGCTTTTCTCATCCATCCAGGACAAGGAGGCTTGGGTTTAACCTCCCTCGCAAGGAAGACCAGGCCTGACGTGAGGGTCCTTCATGGAGGAAGGAAAAATCGGCTCTCTCCTCCATTTAATAATAATAGAAAAAAGCCTCCCCCACCTCCAATCAATTTGCGGGATACAAACTACAGTGATGACATCTAAGCCACAGCAGAATAGCCGGTGAAGACACGAGCGGGTTGGCAGAATGCATCGCTCGATTAGGGTTTAACATCTGTGGCTCAGACTACGGGAGAATCTTTCAAGGCAACAAAGAAACTCCCTAAGAGAACTTGGGCCATGCGATGATTTGAAGCACCCAGCCTGCTCCTGGGTGGTTTAGTTTCAAAGTGTGGCCCATTTATACACGTCTTTGGCTTTCTTTCCACAAAAGCCCCTTTTGGGAACTCAGATTCTGTAGATTTAAAAAAAAAACCGTTTGAAGATGCAAATGAATTCTGCACCCTTCTCCCTAAAAATACAGTCCTCTAAGCCTTGGGCAGCCATTTTTGACCACCTGAAAGTCGGCTCGTTTATTAGAAGTCTCTGATAGTAATTTAAGAAGAGACTGGATAACCATTTGTCTGAAATGGCATAGCGCTTTCTGCCTGAATAGGGAGCTGGACTAGAAGACCTCCAAGGTCCCTTCCAAAATTCTCTGTTATAACCAAAGCCAAGACGTTCTGCTTGTAAGACTTGCAGCTTCCCAGTTAAGGCAGGCAGCAGAGGAAATAGGGCCAAATGGTTTGAGCAGGCAAGTTTGAGGGAGACAAACTTTCTGTTCTCAATATACAATAGGACACTCTCTTGCAATGAAATTCCCAGTTCTGGACTAAAGGTTTTTATAACCTCTGAGACCAAACCGAGCACTTCATCCTCTACTAATCTCTCCAATCTACCATTGCATGCTCAGAGATGATTAAAATTTTAGAAGCATACGAGTGAACACAAAGTACTTGCTAGATAAACTTTTTGAAGCTTTATTCTGCATTTTGCAAAGATTGGGAGAAAAAAAAAATCAAAACTTAAAACATCTAAGTACGCACTAATGCTTTACCATGATTTAGATTCTATGGACCTGTTTTTATTTTATGCATTACCCAGAGATGTGGGTTTACTGATTAATTGAAAATATAATAAATTATTTTAAAAATCAAACCGGACATTTTAAAGCTCATGGCCATTCTTTTAATGCTAACAAATGGTTTATTAAAAACCACTGCTAACAAATGGTTTATTAAACTTCATATAGGAAAGCTACCCTCAAAGATCGTCCTCTTAATATCACCTAAAAGGCAGGTGACTGGTTTTAGTTTAATTAATTTCAGTTTTTATTTTTAAAAAACAGCTCCTGAGTCGTGTACCATAGCTACTACAAGCAGTATGGGAACTGGCATTTAAGGTGATCATTATACACAGTTAAGTCAACAACGCACAGCAGATGCTCTCTTCCTATTTTGTAAGAAACATATTTATTAAAGTACACACAAATACAAACAGCACACTTTTGTCTTCAGCAAAGCAGGGTTTGTTCCCAAGTTACCGCCGCTTCTGGAAAATGTTGCCACGTCCCATTCCTCGTCCCCTTCCTCTTGCAGCCACTAAAGAAAACAGAATACAAAACTCAAAGGACAAACACAAAGACCTGCAGCCATGCTGGACTTGGTAAGGAGCCTGTCTGAGTGCACAGATTGTTCCCGAGAAGACAACAGGTAGCAACTAGTTGCTGGTGACATTTTAAAGCCAATAAAAACAAAAGCCATTTGTGGACTCGACAATAGGCAACACAAATCTCCTGTGGGTCCTACCACACTCCACACTTGCTGGAACCTCTCCACTTCTGGAGTTCCGTTTGCAGCCCTTAACCTTAAGGAAGGGGGAGGGGAAGGGAGGCAGAGGATGCAAAAACTGGTCCAAGAGGCCAAAGGTGGGAACCCTCCGCCCCCACCTGTGTCCTCTGGGCGGGGCGGGGCAGGGCTCAAAATCTGCCCCCTTGCCTCAAAGCAGGGCTCCTTCTCCTCAGGCGTCCCAGCCCCTCCTAGAGCAACAGAGGGGCGGCAGGGAGGTCATGACTTTGAACCACCTGAGATGTGATTTGGGGGCAGTTTATCAACTGATGCCAGGCGGCGTTTCACTCCCAGCCCAAACCCCCTGAGGGCCAGGCGCAGAACTCGCCGCGGGGGTTCTAGGGGTTCGGTGTCGTTTGTGGGAAACGGAGAAACCCCCCCCGCCCCCCCCCCCAAAAAAACAGAGAGGCTCCTTGGGAAGAGCTGCAGCAGGGCACCGGAGAGAGCATCCGGCCGGTCCGCTTGCGCCCCGCAAGGCTCGCGCCAGCCGCCCCCTGGACCTCGAGCGGCTCCGAACCACGGGGCTAGCCGGGCACCCCCCCCCCCGCCCTTCCGCCCGGTTCCGAGGCTCACCCTGCGCCTTGAGGATGGCGGCCTTGCCGCGCCCGGCGCCCGAGCCCTGGTTCTTGTTCTTCATGCTCTTCAGCATCGGCGCGTTCTTCAGCATGTCGGGCAGGATCAGGAAGCGGATCTTGCTGCCGCGGATGTAGACCTGCTCCAGCTGCGCCACGCGCCCGTCGCGGTAGGTCACGGTGATGTTGGACATCTGAGGGGAGGAGGCGGCGGTTAGCCCCGGCCCCGAGACGCCCCGGTCCCCCCGGCCCGCCCGCCCGCCCGCGACCTCGGCCCGCCGCCCTACCTGGCAGTTCATGTTGTCCTCGGCCTCGATGAGCTTCCCGCGGTAGACCTCGCCCGTGTTGGTCTCGCAGGTGACGATGTGCCCCTCGGCCTCGTGCAGCACCTTGATCGGCACCCCGATGGACATGGCGGCCCGAGGAAGGAGGAGGAGGAGGAAGAAGAGGAGCTCCCGGCCTGCCCCGCGCGCGCGCGACGCTCTGCCCCGCCGCCTCTATGGCACGCCGCTCTCCGCGGGGGAGAAACGGCGCTCCCGGCCTGCCCCGCGCGCGCGCGCGCGACGCTCTGCCCCGCCGCCTCTATGGCGCGCCGCTCTCCGCGGGAGAGAAACGGCGCTCCCGGCCTGCCCCGCGCGCGCGCGCGCGACGACGCCCCGCCCGGGCTCGGCCCCGCCAGCGCCATGAAGAGCCCGGCCGAGGAGGCCGCCGCGCCTCCCTCAGGTGGGTGTTCCGGGCTGGGGGCGTCCTCTTGCGCGGCCGGGAGAGAAGCGGCCGAGCTCCGTGGCCCCCTGCCCTTGCCCGCCCTTGCCGACGCGGCGGCCGAGGGCGCCGGGGACGCGGTGCAGCTGAAGGTGCCGGCGCTGCAGCAGCTCTACCACTGGGACTGCGGGCTGGCCTGCTCCAGGATGGCGCTGCGGTGAGTCTTCCCACGGGACTGCAACTCCCGGCATGCCCCTCCCGCCAGGCCCTGCGCCCCCCCTCCCGCCCGCTGCCCGGGGCATGCTGGGACTCGCAGTCCTCGCCCCTTAAGCCGGGGCTGGGTGGGGGGGGGGTGCCCGGTCTTCCCCTCCTCTCCTCCGCGGAGCCCCGACCCGCAGAGACGACGCCTGGCAGAGGCGGAAGAGGCTGCTGAGACGAGAGCTGGCGAGGCGAGTGGGCAGCCTCTGGAAGGCCGAGCTGCTGGGTCTCCCTTGCGGCTGGGACTCCGAGCGAGAGCGAAGCCCGGTGGGCCCTGTGCCCGAGAGGGAGGCCGGGGGCTTCATTACGTGTGGACCCCGCTCTGCCCAGGCCCAGCTTGTCTGTTGAGCTTCTGCCTGAGCTGAAGATGAGGGAGGGGGGAAAGTGGGGGGGGCTCTGCTTTGGCTGGCCAGTCCTGGTCCCCAGAAGGAAACGGCTATTTTGACTGCAAACTGCCTTTTTTCCCCCTTTCTATCTCCTCCTTTTGCCTCTGATGCCCACCCTGGTCTCTACCCCACCCCCCAAAAAAATCTGACCTGGCCTCAGGTACCTGGACCTGCTGAACGACGACGACTTCCAGAGAGCAGTCCGGGACCTCCAGCTGACCAAAAGTATCTGGACAATTGACTTGGCGTACCTGATGCGTCACTTTGGGGTGAAGCATCTGTTCTGCACCCAGACGCTGGGCGTGGACAAGGGCTACAAAAACCAGGTAGCTTGTTTGGGCGCTGCTGCTCCAGACACAAAGGCGGCTCTAGAAGGACACACACTCTTAAGGGGCGTAGCGGTACTCGCACACTTGCGGCCGTTTGTTGCGCAACTGATGGGTTGCCTCAACGCTGGGTTTGCCCTTTGCTCACAGGATGCCTCAAAGCCTTCCAAGATGACCTTCATTGGCAGGCTTGATTCAAGGCGGCTGCCCCCACATGTGTTCTCTTGGGGGAGGCAGAGGGGGGAGGCTCCCCTTACACATCCTAGCAACCCCTCCCTGGGCCTTCCACCAGGAGAAGGGTTTGTCACCTGACGTGGCTCCTTGTCTTTAGTCTTTTTATAGAAAACACTTTGACACAGAGGAGAACCGTGTAAACCAACTATTTGCCCAAGCAAAAGCCTGCAAGGTGCTGGTGGAAAAACGGTGAGCTCTTTGCGGATGATTTTCCTTCCTTCTTTCTAGCACACAGCGGTTTAAGCACAGCCCCCCAGCTGTTTATCCACGGGGGTCTGTTATAACCCAAACAAGCCTGCATCACTTTCCTGTGATTTCTTAGTGTGTGGTCATGAGAACTGACGGTCCTTTGGGATGCAGGGATTGAAATCTTCCGCTGGGAAATAACTCTGCCTGAGATGAATGGGGTGCGCTGAGCCGAAGGGTGCAGTGTGATTGAGGCTGGTTTTTTTCCTCCCATTAAAAGCGCCGGGCGTCATAAAGGATGGCATTCCTAACCTGCTTCTGCCTGGACCAGGGGTTCCCATTAGCGAAAGATGACCAGCTTCGGCTGGACTGCTTTCCCTGCCACTTGCGATTCTTCCCGCACCTTCATTTCTCACAAGTTGTGGATCCCCTGGGTTGGAATGGGCATCCCTAAGGGACACCCCAAGGCCTAGGGTGGTTGTTCACTTGGAAAGGAAGAGTTGGAGAAGGAGGGACGGTCCCCAGCCCTTCTTCTTGAGAACAGGAAGGGAAGGATGGAGAGCCCACTTAATACTTGTAGGAAAAGGCAAAAGGTTCCACGCACCAATCCACCTATAGACAGAGCAGGTGGTTTCAAGTAACTTGAGCTCAAATAGAGACGTGAAGATGTTTTGGTGCAGGCCCAGGCTGGAAGGAGGCTCTTTGGTTTTGAGAGGCGGGGGAGGCGGTAAGAGCAGCAGGGAGGCTGTCGGGGGCAGGGACTAGAGGAAGGGTCATGCAGACCACGGATGAGCTGCTGTTGGGACCTGGCGGTAGCTCAAGGGAAGAGAGGAAAGTGCTGAGGGGATTGGAGGACAGAAAGAAAGCAGGTGGTTATTCCACCCTGGGAACTACTCGGAGTTGAACCACACCTGCCTGTTTTTTCCCTATAAAAACCCTCCGGTTTCTGCTTTTATTTTTATTTAATTCTATCCTGCCTCCATTACTTTTACAAAGAAGGTGGCAGTGTTTATAGAATAACAGAGTCGGAAGAGACCTTATAGGTCATCTAGTCCAACACACACACACCCCTTGCTCAAGCAAGAGACTATGGCATTTCTGCCACTTCCTCCTCTTACTTTCCCCACGACAACCCTGTGAGGTGGGTTGGGCCAAAAGAGGGACTGACCCAAACCCACTTTTCCTGGCTGACGCAGGACTTGCACTCCTGGCCTCCTGCTTTCTTGCCCGGTGCCTTCACCACTAGGCCAGACTGACTTTCTTCTAAACGTGGAAACTCAACAAAACATTTCAGGTTTTGTTTTCTTCCCAAATCTTGCATTTAGCGTAACAGTTTGGCAGAATTTCTGGAGCACGGTATGCAGTAGTTTGAAATAAAACATCCAAGGGTGTGCACCCCTAGGCACCTGCCAGGCATTTGGGGATCGGCTTATTTTGAGGGTGGTGGTAGGTCCGTTTTTCTGACTAGAAGCAGGAAGGAGTTTGTGGGTTGGCTTCCTTTCAGAGGGGAATATCTACTCAAGAGAGGCAGGGTTGTCTCCGGTTGCTGTTGGGATTCTACCCCAAATATGGGAACTGAATGACGGTTGCCTGACTGAGCGGTTATTCTGTTTCACTGGCGACTGTCCCTCCATCTTGAGGACCGCAGGCATGGCCAGGATGGGGTGCACACGTTTCACGCAGGGAAGATCCTGATGGTTCTTTAAGTGGTCATCTGCAGATTCCCCTGGAGGGGCTTCCAGCCTGCGTGGCTGACGTTGGAAAGCTCCGTCGGGGCCTAACTCGGCCTTTGGGCAGGGAGCTGCAGTGGAACAGCTGCCTCTGTCGGAGGAAGTTCCCTCCCTCTTATCTCGGGCTTGTGCACTAACACAGTGGTCTTTTACTCGCAGAACTTTCTTGGCAAGGGGATGGCAGATGGCCACTCAAAGAACCACAGTTACAGGTAAGCCCCCTGTTCTTACGCCTTATGGGTCTCCGCGTTCACACACAGGAGAGAGTAGCAGGCTGTGCACCCTGAAGCGGGGCAGGATTCTAGCTAAGTAGAACAGGACCAGAAACGGCTTCTGGTGCAAATGAAAAATCCACCTTGTGCTTAATGGAACCTGGGGATTGGGAGGTGTGCTCTGCTTCCGTTCACAATGGTAGACGTATTGCGTTAAATTATTGTATACTTTCATCTTGCTTTTTTTTTTTAAACGTAAACAGTTGCTAGCAAAAGAGGGAGCGTGTGTAAGTAACCGTTCAAACTGCAGACACCTCTGACGTATTGTGGAGCGCAGGACGTGCCGTGAGGGATGTGCACATCTGACACTTGTCAAGTCACGGCTGAGCTGCCATCTCTCTTGCAGGCCTCAGTGGGGGATGTGAGTAGCCTCCCTCAGGACCTCCACCCCTGCGAGAAACAACGATGGAAGACCCCTGAGCCCGTAACTTTGAGGGCCAGGAAATGCTCCTCGTTCCCTTCTTTTAACTTTCAGGAGAAAAAGCGGCAGAAAAACATTACGTCTGTCTGTAGATACAAGAAACTTACGTATGTAGGCCCCAGTTTGTGCGAGTTGGAAGCAGAGTTTCCAGTCTCTTTCCCCACAGGGCTGTGTCTTGAGCCCGCTACTGTTCACCTTGAGGACCCACAACTGCTGTGCCAAATCTGCTACAAATCATATTGTGAAATATGCAGACGACACGGCAGTGGTGAAGATGCTTATAGGGAAGAGGTGAAGGCTCTGGTGGATTGGTGCAATAAAAGTAACCTGGTTCTAAGGGCTAATAAAACAAAGGAGATCACTGTAGATTTTAGAAATAGCCGGCAGGGTCATACTCCACTCAGCAGCAAGGATGCAGCCGTAGAGGTGGACAACGGTATTAAGTATCTGGGGGTGCAGATAAGTAACAGTCTGAACTGTTCTCTCCGCACGTCATCCTTAGTGAAGCCTGCATTTCCTGCGTTGAATGAGGAGAGCACCTCTTTCTCCTTCTGTCCTGGCCACTTTTTACAGAGGCACACTTGAGAGCGTTTTAACAAACTGCACCCCTGTTTGGTTTCGTGGCAGCAGTGCCTCAGATAGAAAGTCCCTACGGAGAGTGGTGAGGATAGCAGAGAAGGTTATAGAACGCTTATTTCCCACTAGTCAGGATACTGACCGCTTATAAGTGTTATGTGCTTAGAGTTTGAAGCATTGTTAGAGACCCCACAAACCCATTCCAGGGTCTCCGTTTCTGTTGCTCCCCTCTGGGGGGTGGGAGGAGGTTTTGAAGTGTTTCTAGCAGGACTTCCAGGATCTGGAACAGCTTTGCTCCCTAGGCCATCCGCCTGGTCAACTCGCACGGTTCGTTTCTCTCGCCATGCGCGTGGATACATCCGAACTGGACTGTGTTGTTTCTCTGCGTCATATAATATACGTGGCTATAAACATTTATTTATTTAGACGGGTTTCTGTAGGGTACGTTGGAGGGGGAGGCCCTTGGAAGGGGTCTATGCAGCAACATCCCATTTTAATGTACGCCGATTAGCGCACATTCAGAGTGCCAGTAAAGTTACTCCGGATCCCTTCTCCGGCAGCACCGTGACCATCGGGGACATCCAGGAACATCTCGCGCAGGGCCACATCGCCATCGTGCTGGTCAACGCTGTCTTGCTGCTGTGCGACCTCTGCTCCAGCTCGGTCAAGTACTGCTGCTTTCTGCCCATCGGCCAGAAGTGCTTCTGCCGCAGCCCCGACTACCAGGGCCACTTCATCGTCTTGTGTGGCTACAACAGAGCTTTGGAGTGCGTTTATTACAACAACCCTGCCTATGCAGACCGTGAGTAACTGCGCCCTTGCCCAGGTGTTGGCCTCCAGCCGCGCTTGGTCCCCCCCCCCCCGCAGCCCTCTGGGCCCCTGATTCCTCGGGCGGTGTGGTGCGGTTAGGCGATTCCCTCCACCAGGGGGCTGAGCCACGGTGGTGGCAGGAGGGAGGCTGGGCTGTGGAGTCCTGGACAGCCGCCCGTGTCTTGACTCTGGGTCCACCCCACAGGAACATGCAGCACCAGCATCCATAACTTTGAGGAAGCCAGGACCAGTTACGGCACAGACCAGGACATCCTGTTCATCTACCAAAACAGCTGACCCTCCGGCTGGGGCTCCCAATCACCGCCATGGCGGCAGCCATCTCAGGACTCGGAGGCCTCCCCTCCTGGACTACACCGGGTTGGAAGCAGCGGAGGCGTTGGGCTCGAGGGGGGAGAATGTATTTTATGCCACCTTGAAGCAGAATGTCCATTGCAGTCACCATGCATAACAAAGTGCGTTTTCCAGCTGGGGTCTGTCTGAGGACCCCAGGTGATTTTGCTGGGGGGGGCAGGGGTGTCCCAATTCTGACCCCAGGCTAAAACCTGGCCAGTCCCCCTCCCTAAAGAAGACTGAACTCTGAAACACGACGACTGCGCTCTGTCCTGATGCTGTCACCAGATCCAGCCCATAGCCTGCACCCCTCCCTCCGCCCTCCCTCCCTCTGAGCCGTCAGTCCGGCTCTCTTGATCTGCTCTGGCCGGGCTTTCACCCGCTTCACAGCCAGGCTGCTGCTGCGGCTGCCCTAGGAAGAAGCGAATCCGTACTTTACTTTTGCACCCCCGGAGCTTTGAGGTGCAGGAATGAAACTCAGCGGGCCCCGAAGAGCGGCTGCTCCTTCCTAGCTATCCTTCACCCAGTTTTTTTTTAATCTGCTGATAAAAATCAAGCCAATCAATTGAGCCACAGGAGGAGGAGGAGGCAGAAAGGAAAGAGAGGCATCAACAAAGTCTAACCAAGCAGAGTTCAAAGCGGGACATGCCCAGAAGCAACGCCAACACCCCCCCCCCCAGTCACCGCAGCCAGTGACTCCCACCTTCGGGGGGCTTTTTCAGGGGAGACAGAGGTTTGGCCGTGTTGGCAGAAGACGGGCGTCTTTTTGGAAAAGGTTTTCTCAGAGGACTGAAATCCTTCCTTTCGGGTTTTTGGATTGGGTGAATCAGCACTTTTTGTCAATCGATCGTTTTGAATAACGTCCGTTGAATTGGTGATTCGATTGCTCGTGGGAGGCTGCTACCACGGATTCTGCTTAATCCCGCCTTTAAAAAAGGGCATTTCAGAGACCGCAGCTGCGTCCCCGTCCTGGTTCATCAGCGTTTCCCTCCTGAGGCTCACCCGAGGCTCACCTTTGCGGGGTGCAGCCAGCTCTTCCTCCCAACGCAGCCAGGAGAAGACTGCCCTCGGAGCACCATCGACCCGAAGGGGCCGCACTTGGAGCCGGCCTTAACGCCTGCCCCCCTGAGCGAAGCTGTGCGCCTGCGTCCCGCCCTTTGCCCCAAATTAGCTGCCCAGGGAACGGCCACTCCGGACCCCGAGCTTGCTCTGCCAGTGTTAAAGCGGCCGTCCCAGTGTGATCCGTTTCGGCCCCACGAAGGGCCAAAATGCGTTCAGGAGAAAGGGGGGTGGGGAGAGCTCCTACTGCCGGGCAGGGAACTTGCCTTGGGCTGGAAATCCGGCTCCTTGGCATCACCTGCTGGGCGGGGAAGAGCTGTGTGCCCCTCTGGGAGGCCCAGGTTTCTACCTCAACACACCACATCGGTCTCTGCTCTCAGCTGGGTGTGGCTTGAAATAACTCTGTGCTGTATATGTCTCTTCTGTGGTCAGATCCTTGTAAGTGCCTATTAATGGCAGAGAATAGGAATGGGAAGCGTCTTCAGTTATCCGAGCGACGCTTCTAGCCCAAAGAAAGAGAGTCGGGGGAGGAGCCGATGGAAGCGGGCAAGACAAGGGACACGTTATCAGATGGGGTGGGGGGGGCATTGTTGCTTCCATCCAGACAGGGGGTCTCCAACCTTGGCCGCTTTCAAGACTCCTGCACGGGGAGGGAGGAGTCCGGCTGTCAAAACCTTTAGTATTGCTTCAGTGCTGTTATTTCCGTCTTGCCTGCTCGTCGCATTGGTCTCGTTCCTAAGTAGTAAAGGCTGAACATGGCCGCCTGCTCTCCTGGTCTCCAGCTTAAGGGAGCCGCTTTTTGGGGGGGGGCTCCCTCTGAACGAAGCCGAGCCGAAGCACAGCAGCCGCTTTCCTAAGCCAATTCCTTCTTAACACGGGTGAGGATGCAGCTCCACCCGCTGGAAGGATCGCTTGGTTGCAAGGGACCGTCTTCACAGGGCTGAGCATCCTCCAGGCACGGGATGATGCGCCAGCCACCCTAGAGGCCGCTGGGGGAGGCTCCCCAGTCTTGGTGCCGAACCTGCGGGAGGCTCTTTGAGTTCTGCCTTGCCGGCTGAGAGGGCAGAGCTGCTTCTGGCTGAGCTGCTGGTGGAAGAGAAGGGGCTGGGGGTGCGGGGGGGTTGCCCCTCTTGGGAAGGGGGCAGAGGCATTGGGGAAGTCAGCGCAAGGCCTGCCTGGGCCCTGCACGCTTTCTCTTCATTCGGGTGCTCTGAACAAGTAAATGTTATGCAAACTTCATGACCACGTGACAGTTAAAGGGAAAAAAAAAACAACTGCAAAATAAGTTTTATAGACAAAAGTATGTTTGTAAATCACTCGATATAAAGCCTGCTTTCTTGAACCTGCTTAGATTTCTTTCTTTTTAAGAGGGGGTGGGCGAGGCGGCTAAATAAGGAAACGTTTGCTGACTTTTCTTTCAGGTCTTTGTGGTGGGTCTTTTCTGGGCTAATGCTTGGCTGCTTCCTGGAGCGTAGAAGGAAAACCCGTCTTTCAAGGAGATGCAGTTTGGTTCTTTAGGGAAAACCAGGGGAGATTCATCGCCCCCAAATAGGGCGAATGGCTGGCTGCTATGAAGCAGCTGCCACCGAGCGCTCAGCCCGTCCGCAGTGCAGCAAAAGGCGCTTTGGGGGCTCGTAGATGGTGGCGGAGCACAATCAGCACCTAGAGGGAGTCCTGAGGAGCAGCGAGTGCTCAAGGGGGACAAACTCAACCTGGAAAAAGGAGGCACCCAAAGCCACCAAGTAACACCTGGCCAATAGGTATCCCCCGTGCCTGATTACCTGCCCACCGTGGGAATGCAAGGGAGGATCTTTGCCTCTTGCTTATCCCTCCTTCCAAGGCAGGTGAGGGGTCCCCAGAGGGCAGCTGCCAGGCTGGTTCTTGAGGTGGGAGTAAGGGAACAGCAGAGCCCAGCAGCTAGGAACCATTGCAGAAGGCTGGGCTTGGAAGAGGGCAGGGAGACATGGGCCAGGCCGGGGTGGCATGGGGGTCAACCTGCTTCTCCATGCAGGAAGCCAAATGGAAGCCCACCCACCCCCAACCATCCTGCCTTTCCACGAACACAGCCCACTGACCGTCTCGTGGTTGGGAAGGTCCTATCTCTGCATTCTGGACCAAGAGCCTCACCTTGGCCTGTGCAATTCCCTGGGGGAGTTGTGCTGAGCTGTGGGCCACCAGCCCAGTTTGGTTCACCCATATTTTTCTCTCCTCCTTGGACCAAGCGAGGCCTTTGGCCCGGGGTGGGATTCAAAACTTTTAACAACTGGTTCTGTGGATGTGGCTTAGATGGTGGGCATGGCTTGGTGGCCATGTTATTGGCTGGGTGTGGCCAACTCAATACCACATCGAGGCACGCATCTCCTCGCCTGGCCTTATGACTGTGGGGATGTTGTAACAGTTGTAAGTGTGAAAAATGGTCATAAGTCACTTTTTTCAGTGCCATTGTAACTTTGAATGGTCACTCCACACAAGCAAAGTACCAGCAAAGGAGGGGGAAAAAACTCCAGAGAAGTTCCTGAGACAAGAAGTCTAGTCCTGCCAAGAATGTAATAAGGGTTAACGGAGAGGCAGTTTCTGTAAGCAACACCAGAATGTTTCCTTCCTGCCTTCCTTACAGGATTAGGCCAGCAATTTCTTCTAACAACCGGTTCTCCGAACTGCTTAAATGTTAACAACCGGTTCTAGCGGCTAGGTGCGAACTGGTAGAATCCCACCCCTGCTTTGGCCTGGAGCTCCCTTTGGGCTGTGTGCGTGTGTGCGTGCTGATTCCCTTCGCTCTGATCTGTTTTTGGCATGTTGCCATCTTCATTCAACCTCTTTTTTGTTTTCAATGTTTTAAGCAATTTGCAAAACACCCAGTGTTGCTGCGAATTGGGATACAGATGCATTTCATAAATGTTCCAAAGGCACGTTTGTTTGTTTTTCAAAAGACAATTGGACTTTGTTTTTCCCTGGAAGTCGTTTCACTTCCCATCCAAGAAGCCTCCTCACTTCTGACCAAATGGTGGAGGATGGAAGGATTTATATTCCTTGCAGTCATCCGGTCGTTTAGTACTCTCTCTGAGAATTGCCGAGACCACCTGGAGGTTCATTCGTGCCCCCACAGTCACCTGAATAACGCACATATTCAGATGAGGATCAATGAAATATTATTTCATTAGTAATCATCTCCATCCTGTTCTAGGTGTTTTGTGCTTGTTGCCTCAATGAAGCATTAATTTCTGCCCTTTCTCGCTGGAGATCCTGCGTGGAAACAGATTCCTGCCTTCTGGGTTCCATCCCTCCCCACTTCAGGGTCTCTCTCTCCTTGGCATCATCTACCAGATCTTTATCGTAGCTGCCTTTCTGACTTGGGTGTATCTCACCTTCATCAAAGGCATTTTATCATTGTTTTTAGGACAGGATGGGACCAAATATTTCCACGGAATGGGAGAGAGAGTCCATGCCCCATTTACAACACGCCTTTTGCAACTGAGAAGGGAGCTTTTAATATAAGAGAGGAGACAGTTTGGAAAGAAGAGGCCATTCCTGTAAAGATGGGAACATCTGGAGAAGAGCCTCCTCCACCTTGGGCAGAGACGTCACTCTCGGATGATGTTGGGCACGAAGTTGGGTTGGGCAAAGGCAGCAAGCGCCTCAGCGTACATCTTGTACCTTCCAGTCATCTGGAAAAGGGAGAAAAATAAACCGCTATTTTCAGCTGTTGCTGCAAAGCCCCTAGGCCTGGAGGCACTTTGGGGGCTGCGTTGTTTTTTTTTTTTAGGAAACAATGTATCATTCAAGCAATTAAAATTCCAGGGTGTTTAAAAGTTCCTTATTGTCCCGGTTCAGCCAAAAAGCTTTCACTTTCTCCAACTTCCTCCTGCACAATCTTACCCGGCTGCAGGCTTCTTTGTGGCGGCCATTGCTGACCGCCACTCCACCGCCTTGGGAAAAAGGAGTTTAGCCGGCTGAGGAGGGGGTTTGCGATAACCCCAAACCCCTATCCTCTATCTTCAGTTGCCTCTATGGGGCAACCATATCCTCCAGATCCAGCTGGATCAGAGGAACTTCGGCGGCGAGCGCAGCAGGAACCGCGCATGATCGCGGAGTCCTGCCGCCGCCAAAGCCTTGCAAACCGGAAATCCGGGGCTGCGTTGTTTTTTTAAGCAATCCCTGCTAGCACCCCATAACAAATATTCACATTAGTGGCGGAAAAGGGGGTCCAATTTTCCAGGATTAATTTTATCAAATGCTTCATAAAACGAATGGTTCCATGTGATCGTAGTAACCCACGTGATCTTGATTGATTGAATCCCTCTTGCTAATGCAATTTAGGATTGCATTGATCATCCACCGAAGACCCCAAGGTTCCTCTCACAGTTACTGTTTTTGCCTAATCTGTACTTGTACCTTTGGTTTTTCCTGCCCAGGTGTAAAACCTTGCTTTTCGCCACACTGAGTTTCATTTTGTCAGATAGGGTCCCTTGTTCAAATCTGTCAAGATCCTTTAGGATCCTGAGCTTGTCTTCTGGGGTGTTGGCTATTCCTGACAGCGTATTCTCATCCACAAATCTGGTGAATTCCCCTTCTATTCCCTCATCTAAATCATCTATAAAGATACTGAAGAGCCCTGTGCCTATGACAGAACCTTGTGGTATCCCACTGCGTCCTTCCCTCCATGTAGACACGGTACCGTTAACGACTACTCGTTGAGTATGATTCGTCAGCCAGTTAAAAATCCATCTTGAGATGCTTCCTGGGGGTCTCGTGATTAGCTCTCACTGGTCCCCAAAACTACTCCGCAATAGCTCTCGATGGGGCCACATTGTCCACAGCAACAGCATCGTCATGGGAACATTGAATGTGTGAAAACCTTTATATCAACCCTCCCGAAGGGTCAGTCTCCCGTTTTATGGCCTGGAGAATCACTCAAAGGGTAGAGGGGACATAACCCAGATCAGAACAGGAGACCTTTTGCTCTAAAGAAGGAAGTCCAGGAAGGTGTTTGCTTTCCCACCAGCAACCTTCTGGGAGAGGCTCCATTGGCCCCAGGGATCTCAATTGCTACCGTGTGTGTGTGTGTGTGAGGGTGTAATCCACAGCAGCTAAATCCTGGGGGGGAAGGGGGCTCAGAGGTCATCCTAACAATGTGTTTGGCCTGTAAAATCTTCCATAAATAGCTGTGACGATGAAGCAGATCTGAAAAAGGACCAAGTGCTGCAAAATCGATCCTCCCGAGATCCTTGCAATATAGGATGCTGATAGGGGAAGAGTTGTATCCTGCCAACTTTCCCCGCCACAACTCAGGCCTCCAAATTCTTTCCAATCACAATAAAAAGGCCAGTATAAGATACAGATCAGCAAGACCTGGTTGTAATTCTTTGAGCCATGATGGCACAGTGGTGAGAATGCACTACTGCAGGCCAACTCTCCATTTCAGTGCCAGGAGTTTGATTCTGATCAGCTGAAGGTTGACTCGGCCTTCCATCCTGCCGAGATTGGTAAAGTGAGGACCCTGTAAACTGCTTAGAGAGGGCTGTAAAGCACTATGAAGCGGTATATAAGTCTAAGGGCTATGGCTTTGGAGCCTCCCAGACATTTAGATTACATTAAATTAGATTAACAGAGTTGGAAGGGACCTTGTAGGTCATCTAGTCCAACCCCTCACCCAAGCAGGAGACCTTACACCATTTCTGACAGAGGGCAGCCCAGTCTCTTGAAAGCCTCCAGTGATGAAGCTCCCACAACTTAACAAAGGCAACTTCTGTTCCATCAGTTGATTGCTCTCACTGTCAGAAAATTCGTCTTTATTTTCAGGTTGAATATCTCCTTTTTCGGTTTCCATCAGTTGTTTCTTGTCCTACCCTCAGGTGCTTTGGAGCATAGGTTGACCCCTTCCTCCTCTCTGTGGTAGCCTCTCAGATACTGGAAGACTGCTATCGTGTCAGCCCTGGTCCTTCTCTTCCCTAGACTAGCCAGGCCCGGTTCCTGCAACTGTTCATCGTAGGTTTTAGCCTCTAGTCCTTTAATCCTCCTAGTTGCTCTTCTCTGCACTCTTTCTAGAGTCTCTACATCTTTTTTATAGTGTGGTGACCAAAACTGGATGCAGTATTCCAGGTGTGGCCTTACTAAGGCTTTATAGAGTGGAATTAGTACTTCCCTTAATCTTGATTCAGTCCCTTGATGCAATTTAGGATTGCATCGGCTTTTTTGGCTGCCACCGCACACTGTTAACTCATATTTAGCTGGTGTCCACTAAGACTCCAAACATGTTTTGCACTGTGTAAAGATTCTGGGTTTCTTCTGCAAGATGGCTGCAGCTAAGCAACTCCCCACTGAAGCTGAGACTGGCCAGAGAGAGTAC